CATCTCGGACTTTGTATGCTAGTGTTAGCAATTTGAATTTGATGCGTGCTGCTAGTGGTAGCCAGTGGAGCTCAATGAAGAGAGGGGTGACATGTGCTCTTTTTGGCTTTATGTCTGAACATGGTGTTCATTATGGACAATCCATGACTGGCGCAGAAGTCCAATAACAAAACACCACTCGAATTCAGATCAGGGGGGCTGTTCCTCCCAACCACACCTCTCCAGGTCTCACTGTCGTTGCCCACGTGAGCGTTAAAGTCCCCCAGCAGAACGAGGGAGTCACTGGAAGGAGTGCTTTTCAGCACCCCCCCAAGGTCTCCAAAAAGGGTGGATAGTGTAACAGAATGAAATTACTGTTTTCCACCTTATTAAATAACATGTAATTTAAATCATTACAATAGTCTGAACTGTAGTTTGGTGCATAAGCACAGACCACAGTCAGAACCCGTCCCCCCACGTGTAGGCGGAGGGAGGCTACCATCTCATTCACTGGGGTAAACCCCAACGTACAGGCACCAAGATGGGGGCAACTAGTATGCCCACCCCTGCTCGGCGCCTCTCAGTGGGAGCAACTCCAGAGTGGTAGAAAGTCCAACCCCTCTCAAGGAAACTGGTCCCAGAGCCAGAGCCATGCGTTGAGGTGAGTCTGACTATATCTAGTCGGAACCCTTCCCCACCAGAGAGGTGACATTCTATGTGCCAAGAGCCAGCTTCTGTAGCCGAGGATCAGACCGCCAAGGTCCCCGCCCTCGACTACAACCCATCACACGCTGCACCTGACCCCTTTGGCCACTCCCACGAGTGGTGAGCCCATGGGAAGGAGTTCATTAAACTAATCAGTAAAAAGTTTCCTATATAAGGATCCCAGCAAATTGCATCAAGTCATTGACTAGTGTCAGTGACTTTACAGCAATCCTCATACTAAGCAAGCATTTAGCAACAGTGGAGAGGAAAACTCCTTTTTAACAGGAAAAAACTGTCAGTGTAGCGCCGTCGTCAGGTAAAAACTCAGTGCTGCATTTGAATTAAAATCTGCTATAGCTATTAGCTAAGAAGTACACTATGACATTAGCTGGTACATTATGATGTCACAATGCCATTTTGAGCCTGTGTGTGTGTGTGTGTGTGTGTGTGTGTGTGTATTTGTTAGTGGCTCCACCCTCTCGGTCTGCCAGGCAACAGCATTTGTTGCATTTTTTAGACAGGAAGTGGGAGTGGAGTAAGACACTGGTATGGGGTGACTTGCTCTTTAATGATCAAGCAACTAGTCTAAAAGGGAGATTTATCAAGTCATAGAGCATCCGAGATTCATCAATGTATGCGTCATGATCTGGAATGAGTGACTCTCAGGCCTGGGACACACCAGCCGCCGAAGCGCCGCGAAGTGCTGGGAGGCGAAATGCTCACAAAATTCGGCCACTGCTCGCTGCTCCTCAGTTCAGACCAGACACTTGCTTCTCCGCTCCAGTCGAGGCGTGCGTCGGCTCAGCTGTAGTTTTTCTATTAACCACTTGGTGTCCTCCATTTCCTATTTGCTTTTTCTCTGCTCTTTTCCTCTACACCCCCCTCCCCCTTGCTGTTTGTGTGTGTTTGTGAACCTATGGTGTGAACCAGTTGTTAATAGCTGGCCTACGACTTTCTGCTTCTCTGCCCTGTTTGCTCCGGTTGAAAGACACCCCAAACCACACCCCCTTCACGTGGTCACACACACACACACACACACACACACACACACACACACACACACACACACACACACACACACACACACACACACACACACACACACACACACACACACACACACACACACACACACACACACACACACACACACATTTGACTATCGCAGAATTGTATTTTGAAATGCTTTATTTTGTTCAATTTACCGGCCTGCCTCTTACGTCTAGGTTTGACTTCCTACCAGAATTGATGCGGTTCACCCGCGGCTCGCGAAAAAAATAGAGCAGACGGCGAAACGATCACTGCACGGCGCTCGGCACTTCGGCGGCCCATGTGGCCTATAGAATAGGATAACAAGGGCGCCGAATGAAGGCGGTCCCCGTTTCGCGGTGTTTCGCGGCGCTTTGCAGCGCTTCGGTGGCCGGTGTGTTCCCGGCGTTAAGCAGACACAGCCCACTCGGACTCAGAAACAAGTTTTTCTTAAAACAGTTTATTTTCTTCTGAAAAATATGAATTTGAAAAATGAACTCACATTTTTCACTTATAGGCTAACTAACCCAAATTATTGATGTAAAGTTATGACTGACTTAAACGGCATTCCATACATTAACAAATCTATTTATGGTAAATTGTTTTTAAGTAAATGTTTGTTAAGCAGTAAGATCTCTTGTCAAAAGTTTCTCAAATATTTTCAGCCAGTGATCATTTATTATATAATTTCACGCTGTATGTACTTACATCACCACTGTCTTGATAGAAAGATGAACCACAGTTACAGATTATATTTCTTAGTAGGCAAATGATGTTGCTCTCACATTAACAAAACAACATAGCATCACTCATCAGTGTACACGGCAAGGATTTCTCAGCTGCCACCTTTTGTGCTCACATACTTGCATTTGGCAGAGGCTGAGGCAGAATATTATCCAGCAGTCACGATGCTTGTACTTTATTTGGCTTTGGTTTCACCGTGTAGTGATAAAAACTCAACATTTGTTTAATGTCATCAGTTCTAAAGAGCATCAAAACCTCAGATTTTATCAATGTCATGTTGCATTGAACATTTATTTGCTTAGTTTTAACACATACACCTTAAATACATTTTTTAAAATAAAATTTAAGTGAAGATCCTGTCATGTCAGTTTCAAACACATCGCCGTATTCCAAAGTTGAACATCCAGCCCCCTCAAATTGCCACAACGTGCTGCAAGTGACCTACATGGTCCGTCATCTGCTGGCGTCCAGAGACAGGTGTGAGCGTTCCTGAGTGATTGATGACTGGTTTCTCTTCCATCTGTTTCTGCCTTGTCACAGGTACTTGTCCTCTCTGCTGTAGCTGTCTTCCTTGAGAGAGAGAGAGAGAGAGAGAGAGAGAGAGAGAGAGAGAGAGAGAGAGAGAGAGAGAGAGAGAGAGAGAGAGAGAGAGAGAGAGAGAGAGAGAGAGAGAGAGAGAGAGAGAGAGAGAGAGAGAGAGAGAGAGAGAGAGAGAGAGAGAGAGAGAGACTGGTGGGTGAACAAGGCTTGGCTCTTGTCCACACAGGAAATAGATTAATGTGCATCTTGGCGAATTGAGTTGATACATTTGAGCTGACGGATAAACTCCTTCCCTTTCCTCCCGCTAACTCACTTCACTGGTTGTGACACCCCAGAGCCAAGACTCCGGAGTGAGTCACTGGTGTGAGGTGATTCTGGCTCAGGTCACCGTGACCCAGTTTACAGTCCTGTTGTGAGAAGCATCATGGTGATTTGAAGCACACTTGGAATGTTCTTCGGTTCTGTCACTCATCTGTTTTCTGCAAGTTAATTTTGGAAAAGACATTTCTGTTGCTTGGATCAATTATTGGCATCCTATTTAGATTTGTAAGGAAACTAGATTTAGGTCATGTTACACAAGCTCAGTTAAAATTGATCTCTCGCTTTCCGATGGGGGTTATCAGAGGATGTTTTTGTCAGTGAGCAAGCATCACATAAATCATCAGTGTCATCCATCTCTTCTTTCAGCATGAGAGCTAAATATCTTACTGTAGAGCCCCTCAAACTGCAGGCTGAGTCAGGAGAGACAGACATCTGTAAACCCACAAAGATTACCATTATGAGAAAAGAAAAAACAGCTTCATAGAGATTTAATCTAGGAAAAATTATAAAGAATTATTATTGTTTTCTTGCACTTTGAATAATTTCAGTTTGGAGAAACAGAGATAATGTCTGCGCAGATGGATGAATTCATGTCCAGTTTTTTAGGATTTCTGGTTTCTGAGATCAAGGCTGAATGGGAATCACTGACTTTTATGTTCTGGACGAGTTTTTTTAAATTTAAAATTCAGAACTTCAACATGAGAAACAAAGAAGGATGCATTATTATGATCAGAAGTGGTACAACTGGTGAGCACCACCACTCGTTTCTGTTGAAAATGAAAATCTATTAAAAATAATTTAATAAGTTAGTTTGAAAGAAAAAAAAGGGTATAAAGCACAATGGCATTTGCAAGAATCACTGGGGTGTTTTAAAGGAGTATTTTGCAACCTTTACAGGGTTAATGAAAGGTCACCCAGCCCCTATCGCCCCCTGTGGCCAGAGTATTCCACTTCAGACTGGCGGGCCGCTCTGTTTCCTGCATGTTTTAGATCATGAACACAGCTGATTTGGATAGTTTAGTGATAAACCATTTCTGTAGACACTAAGGAAGGCTGGGGAGACGTTTCGGCTGTTAGATTAAGGCGTTAAGGCTTTAAGGTGTTTAAAAGACAAACACAGAGTGAAGAGACAAGTTTTACTTTCAGTTCTACAAACACACACTATGGGGTGCTAAAAGCAAGCCAAAACTGCCTAGTCTCCCTTTAAGACATCATTAATCTACTTTGGTCTTGTTTAGTTGTGATTAGCCCATCAATCATTAATCTCATTGAAACTCATTTGTTTCTCCAAACTGAGGCTGTTTACAGAACAACTTACAACAGGTGGTTCATAACCGTTCTGCAGAAGCCTGGTTGAAATGTTTTACAAATTAAACTAGTTAAAACTAGATATTTCACCGTCAAATTCACATCAACAACCCTTCCCTATTTGGTGCTTACGTGTAGTTTTGTTCTGAACTGCAGAAGTGGGATGAATCCATAAGAATTTTCCTACTTGTCAGACACAAGGAGCACTGTGTATAGTGATCATTTTCACACCTAGCAGGCAAGTGATAGTGATGGGCTCAGCACTTAAAGGCTCTCAAATGTCTCATAACCCAACCGCTGCCAAGCCCCCACCCCAAACACTTGAACCCTGCTGACGCAAGTCAGCCATTTACATTTAGGTGCACCGACACGCTCTATTCTTAATACCATATCTAGAGGAGAAGGGCAGAGGGTTGACTTCATAACAGTCAGAGATCACATAAACATGTTAGTTTTAGATATTTTAAAATCAGATTATTTTGTTTGGATATTAGTAAGTTTGGAATATTTTTTGGGATTCAATTTTATTGAAATTTAGTGCCTTTACTTTAGACCTGGCAACATTCTTTGAAAACGCATTTTTGTCTCTTTCACGGATATTGTTTGTGCAATTTTTTCCTCAAGTCGGTGCCTTGACGTGACACATTTCAAAGTTGCTGGAAGCAATGAGTTCCCTGGTTATAAACGCATCGGGAGATTGTAAAAATGCAGGCTTTGACCTCATTCAAGACCGCATTGAGACCCTCAGCAGCAAGATGGACAAGCTCATCCACATTCAGGAAAAGGTCCTCAGCCGACTGGATGGAATGTCTCAGGAAATTGATGATATCGAACAAGATATGGAGCATTTGATGGTCGATAAAGAGGAGATCCATCTCCCACCAAAGATGATGAATCAGACCCAGGTAGTAGGCCGTGAGGTGAGGGAGATCTGCCATGAGATGAGCACCATAATGTCGGTGGTGAACCGGAGGTCGGAACAGCAGGCTCAGAAGCTGGAGGGAATGGAGAAACTGGTCCTCAGCATGCAGCAGGTGATCAGCTTCATTGGGGAGACCGTGAAGAGCTCAAAAGTAATCGAAAGGATGTTCAAAGGCCAAGCAGCTCGGAAGGCTAAATCTAAAGACAATAAAGGAAAACAAACAATCAAGAAGCTTGAAAAGGTGAGGCAATAGGAGTCTGTCTGCTTCAAGTGTAAAATGTTTGTAAATGTTCTGGTGGAGCCTTGGATTAATCAGCATTGCACATGGAGGATGGCGACTTTTCAATGTTGACTTTGACATCTTAGGAAGATCTCGTTTGGCTTGGCAGAACATGTGAAAATGATCACAGCACCAAAGCGGACCGAAGCTTTCGGTGCTCATGAATGCAACTTGGCTTATTTGTTTGTGTGGTGTGGAGTACTGGTGTAGCACCATGGTGGACTTTGGCATGTTTGGACTTGACAACAATGTTCTGAGAGGAAATTAACTGAGAAAACAAATTTTAGAAGTGCTGCTACTGCACTGTAAATATGGCATTCGTGTAAAGTCTCCATTTAACTCACGCTTATTGCTGTTGGCTCTTTCATCGCGCTGGATCCAACATGGCCTCCTTGGCATGAGGCTTTGGGCGGTACTGCTGGCGTTTCACCACGGGGCCAATATGAGGTCTGGGGTGAAATACGAGTGGGCTGATTTGCTTTTTTCATTGACAGTGTCTCCAAAGTATGTAGGGTTTTATGTCCCCTATATCTAACTATGTGTCAACGATTTATGATGAGTCAAAATTCCCTCCATTTCTCATTTGCTCTCTGTTTCTCACTCAGTCACATTTTCACAGGGCATTGTAGCGCTACTACTCTTACCCCGTCCTCGTGTCTCAGTTAATACGATAGGTGTTAGGACAGTAGAAGCAAATAGACAGAAGTTTATGTGATCCTTTCTAATGAACCAGAATGCATTCAACGCTTCAGATTCAGGATTATTTACATGTTTGTCTCAAACTGATTACACCCAATCAATAAAATCTACATATATACAGCTCTAAATGTGGCAATGAAATTACCCCCAACTCTAATTTGAGCTTTTTGTTATCCAATCATTAGGCAGAGTGAGATGACTCTATAAAAAGGTCACTATGTGCTCCCTGGCACAGACGTGTTCACACTCCTATCACTTGCACAGCTGCAGACTGTTTGCCTTTCTTTCGTGTATGACCTAAAAGTCAAGTAGAAACCCATCAGGGAGGTTGTGACAACATTATTTTGCATACTGAAAATTTGAAGTCAGTTATAAATTGAAACAAATATTTACATTTGAAATAAATTCTCACATTTCATCATAGCTTCCTGATTATTGATCCATCTGTCTGAATGCTGCACGGCTCATGTTTCATCAGGTTTTTTGCTGTCGTCAGTGAGCTGGTCAGGTGGTTGCCTCATCATCCACCTCCATAGGTGTGAAATTTTCAGCATGTAATTCTCATGCACTCCTCATGCAATCTACCAATCAGGACTCTGAGCCACCCCGCCGTCTCTGGGTAAACACTGTTTATCTCACAACAACATTCAATAACAAGCCCGCACCATCTCAGGTTCAGGGCAGGTTTTTCCATCTTAACTTGATCAGACACCGTTTGGCGAGGGAAATCTGAACAACAACCTTCTGCCTCTTGTAATATTTTCCACACAGGGTCAGCAGTGCATGCCGCTGTTGAGCGCGACAAGTGATAAGCTATAAATTCACTGTCCTGCCGTCTATTCATCAGCCATGAATAAGCAATGGCACGCCATGACATAAGGCAACATCTGCACAATGACGTGCATTTAATGTGTCCGTTTAAGCGGTTTTGTCCTTTGCAGGAGATTTTTCTGTAGCTTATTGTTGGTTTGTGCATTGTTTCATCATGATTATCTGACACACAAGTTTCTTTACATTTCTGCACACAACATACACCTCCCATTAAACCTTCTGAGTTGATCTATCTCATCTTTTTGTTAGAAATCTACCTCTAGCAAAGCCAGTAAAGGAAAACAGGAGATTATTCCTGCATGTGAGCCCAGTCCTCTGCAGCCATCTCACAAGACAAAGCTCCAAGGACCAAAGCATTTCTTCGCATCGCATAAATGTGGAAACTCTGTAGGTTTATTGTGACAATAGACTGTTTACTAGAACTTGTCTTTTTATTTATGCTGTCTGACTGAATGTGCTTTTGCGTTTCTGTGCACTGGCTGCTGCTTTGTTCTGCCTGTTATGAGCCAAAACACTAGCCACATATTGTGAACATTATGGCTTTGACACTAACAAAAAACATGAAAAGCTGAGAATTTGTTTTATATTGCTTCACCAGAGCTACTCTGGATAGAAAAATAAAAAAAGAGAAAAACAAAGATGCAGGGAAATAGCTGAATTGTTGTTTCAGACAGAAATAAACAACATTTTAGAGGGTAGAATTTGTTTGAAAATGTTTCGGCTAACTGATTTCACCATTTCTGTTGTGTGTTTTACAGCTGAAAGATCACAAAGGCAAAGACGTGACTGATAAGTGTGGTGTAAGCCAGAAGAACATGAAAACCCAAAAGAAAACGAAGCCTCCAGATGCAGCAGGTCATTAGACCAACTCAACTTATTCACTTTTATTTTGCATTTAAAATCCAGTTCTTAGTTTTATTTTATTTTTTCCAGGAGAACTTTAAATATCTTATAAATTATTGCAAAAGCTCTTTTTATTTACTGTGTGCACTTCCTGCAGATATTTCCCTGAAGAAGCAAGTTTTGCTTCTTGAAGAGCTGCAGAAACTAAACAGAGAGAACACAGAAAAATCTGGTCCTCAGCTCATCCCTGTGGTTCTCGAGGCCGGAGTCCCCCCTAAAGCTCCACAACCCGAGGAACCTGTGTCTAATCTTCCAGATTTTTTGAGCGAAGATACCAAAATTACCGAGGCTGAGAAACCTGGAGAGGAGCAGTTTGGAGACGAGGAAGCTGCAGAGAAAGCTAAAGAAGCGGAGCCTGATGTGGAGGGTGCAGTGCTGACAAAAGAAGTCCCAGAGGAAACACAGACAGAGATTGTTTTTGCAGCTGAAGAAGCAGAAGATGAAGATAAAAAAGAAGTGATTACTACCAGGTAACATAATGTTTCATTCTAATCATGTTTATTTTCCTTGGCTAATAATTCTTTTACATCACTGAAGTAATTTCAGGTTTTGTGGATTTATATTAAAGAGCAGCTTTGGTTTTTGTTTAAATCTCACAGCCAAATGAAACATTGTAGGACTTAGATGATAAAAAGTTTCACAAAAAGCAACAATTATTGATTGAATTAATCACTAAATTAAGAAGTTTTGTGATGCGCTAAATGATTAAATTGCACATGCAGGCTTTAGATTCTTCTTTACTGATATTCCGAATTTAAAATTTGATTAAACTTTAGCAATTATAGACACTGTTTTTAATGACAAAATCCAGAGCAGTGTTCTTAGTTAAGGTGAGCTTTATTGTTGCTAATACATGTTTCTTATCTTTTCTGCGTTTATTCAGTTTTGCAAAAGGAAAAGATCATAGCAACAACTAAAAATTACAGAATTTTTTTAAAGGGACCTGGCACAAGATAATGTTCATGAATAGGTAAAAAAATGGCTCTTTAGGGGGCCTAATTAGTAAATTAAGTATGCACATATTTAATTGTTAATAATGCAAATGTTATGAACATTTAGAGTGGAGGAATTTTTTACTGTTTATTTTGGAAATTACATTACCAGCGTAAATCGGATTGCTTAGAAAAGTAATAGCACACCTCCCACGGCTGAGCCGCTCGTTTTGATGTATAATTTGTGGGGGTGCACGCTGCTGTTTGAGCCGCATTAATGTCCGTGGAAGAATTTTAAAGAGAACAACTCCTCCAGTGCATAACAATAAGGGCCCTGCTTGCACAGCAGCAGGTCCTTTAATAAATAATACCAACATTAATAATTAGATTACAAGGACATATTTCATTAATTAAATTACTTCCATTTGCAGTGAAGAGCAGAAAAATGCTATAGCATGTGTGGAAACACAGCAAGAGGCAACGGAGGAAGAGGAGCAGAAGAAAGACATCAATGAGGAAGATGAACAGAGACCACATTGTGCAGACTGGGCCGTCTTCAAGGCGGATGGAATTGAAATTCAGATGAATCTGAGAGAAAAAGTGGAGATTGAACGACAGGAATACAGCGATGATCTAAAAAAGGAAGAAGATGAAGTTGATGATGATGCTGAACGGTTCTTTATTGGTAAGTCAGAATATAAAACGACCCACTGAATTTCTAAATGTTGTGATTCTGTTTTGTTTTTATGTGAGAAGTGAAAGTTTTAAATGTTAAAATGTTAACTATAATTTATTTTACTGTTTGCATAAACCGAACAAACAAGTGCAGCAACATTGTAAGCAGCAACAAATAACAGCTGGAAACTCAAATTTTAACAGAAACTATGCAATTGATAAAGTAACCTTCCATAATAAGTAAAACTATGTGATTATGGAAGTTTTTCAGCATAAAAATAATGCAAATAAGAAAACAAATATAATATCACAGAAGAACTCATAATTTAGACCAACAAGGCAAAACTAAACTGAACTAAACAATGAAGAATTATTAGAAATGTATCATAATTATATCATAATCATAATAGCTAAAAAAGACAAAAATTTTTGCTTGTTTGAGTCTTTATTGTGCAAATAATGTTTTTTTTTCATGCAGTGATTCTGAATTACTTATATATTCTTTGTACTCGTGTATTTTTTTATTTATTTATACTCATTATTTTTTTCCGCTTTTTCCCAAACTAGTTTATTTGCATAAATATCCAAATATCGGAAGTATAAAACCTAATACTTATCTTTGTTTTCAATAATCAATCAGAATGATTGGAAGTGCTGTGAAACCCAGTGGTTCCTCTTGAACTTGAGACTTGATTTTAGGCTGACTGCTTGGATGACCTTTGACCTTTGTACATGAGCTTCCTGAACAACCAGCTGCCCGTCTCCTCTTAACACATATTTGATACAGCATGTTAGTACAGTACATAACATCCCAGCCTGACCCCTCACAGCAGCTGATTATTAGTGAAACTTTCATGTTGACACATTCTTGTCCCTCCATCCTCCTTCAGACACAACTCCTCCTCCAGCAGCCCCTTTTAATCACCGCATCGTGTCGGCCAAGCCCAACCAGATCAGGAACTTTTACACCATTAATTGGCAGGAGGTTCTTGGCGGGTGAGTACTCTACTATTCTCAAGCAAACAAACATACAAAAAAAGTAGATTTCTCATATCAGAAACAATTAAATCATGTTTTTAATTCTCGATTAAAGTTTTGATTGGTTAACCCTCCTCTCCCTTTTCTTTTCGTCTGCTCAATGGTTCATAACTACAGAGTCACAGCAGTTATTTTTATCTCAGGACGGGCTGGTATGTGAAATCGTATCCTCGGTGCCAGCTGGTAGCTTATCGCTAACTGTTAATCTGAGTCTTCAAAGAACAGGCACAGGCCAGCTCAGATTTACTGAAATAACAGATTATTTACAACATTTTCCAGAAGTACCTCTCTCTGTAACAAGATCAGTGATTTTCTGTGAAGCAGCTAAACTGGAGCCATCTTATTTTGTCATTTTTCGGATGCACGACCTTGTGCATTCGTGCAAAATCAAATTCCTGTCTCCTCCTTTTCCTCCAGGGGGCGTTTTGGCCAGGTGCACAAATGTGTGGAAAACTCTTCAGGTCTAACTTTAGCAGCGAAGATCATCAAAGCCAGGAATCAGAAAGAAAAGGTAAAAATAATGAGATTTTTTTTGTCACGTGAGACTTTTTTGCAAACAACCATGAGAACTAAGTCACACATGATATAAAAAGCAAAGGCCCAGCTGTGGATTTTAGTACTTACTAGAACCCAGCAAGGCTGCTCCTGGAACAGATCTAAAGGGAACACTTTTGACCAAGGTGACAAATTACTGACTTAGAAGAGAAGATGACCAGAACAGCTGACACCTCTCATTTTGTCTGTGCATATGTGTGTGTGTGTACGCTTGCCGGCTTTTTTATCTGTGTGTCCTGCGTTTCTGTGTTTTTGTCGGCCTCCACATCTCTCATTGTTTTTGGTAGGACATGGTGAAGAATGAGATCCAGGTGATGAATAATCTGGACCATGCCAACCTGATCCAACTCTATGCAGCCTATGAGTCAAGAAATGACATCATCCTTGTACTTGAATAGTATGATCTACCTTTTAAGATTTTTAGCACATGCATTTATTTTTGAGCTTTTTATTTTGTAGACTAAACCAAGAATAATCAGTTCAGTAAAACTTTCTGAAATCAATGTTAATTAATGGTGATAACTTAATCTTTATTTGATATGCACTTATGGACAAATAATGGACAGAAATTAGTGTCTTCTATATTTTTTTGTCTGTTTAGTGTTGGTGGAGGGGAGCTGTTTGACAGGATTATTGATGAAAACTACAAGTTGATGGAGCTGGATGCTGTGGTGTTTATCAAGCAGATCTGCGAGGGCCTTCAGTACATGCACAAGATGTCGGTGCTGCACCTGGACTTAAAGGTAACTAAGGTTTGGACTTCTGGTCAGAATGTTCCTGTAGAAGCTGGAAAACCCTTTTAACTTCCCTGCATCCTCAAAAGGGGGCAATGGCTTCTTGTTTTAGGTAGACTGATCCTAATTTCAAGGTTTTATTTGTAGTTAATTAACATTTTCAACATTTTTATTTCTACTTTTGAACTACTAAACAATAAAAAAACAATGCTTGTTTCATCTATGAGGTCAAAATACTGCAAAATAACTTGAGAAAATAAAACACTGACTAACAAAAGATATTGTAGGTAAAAAAGAAGGATATCATGAGGATTGGTAAATAAATAATTTTATTTAAACAGAAACGCAACACAGGGGAGCACTCAGGGTTGGACTTTGGAAGAAATATTGCAAGAAACATCACAACAAAAGTCCCACAAATATACATTTCAATAGTTTAATGATAATATAATAGTCTTTAGAGACCCTAAGCCTTCTACAATATGTCAGTCCAGATTTATTTCATTTGCCAAAACATACGCATAATAAGACACATGAAAGAAAAAGCAGATGATTGTGTTTCCTTCTGGATAAATCACTGTCCTTCTGGTTTAATGTTGTAAATAAAGTGAAGCAAAGACAGATGTTTCCGGCTGAACAACATTTAGAAACATATGAAGACCTTATCAGTTAAACATGGTGGAGGTTTGATCATGGTGTGGGGCTAATTTCTCAGTTCAGGTATGAAATTAGGCAATCAAAGTATTAGCAAAGCTGCTTAGAGTTAAATGTGTTGTAAGTAGGTTAGATCTAAGAGAAGAGAGAAAATGAAACACTTTTCAAGACAAAAATATAAAATAAAATAAAAATAGATTTTTACTTTTGCTTCAGTTTAACCTCAGTTTTCTTGTTTTACTGTTCCTGATTTTTCAGCCAGAAAATATTCTGTGTGTGAACAGAATCACCAACAGGATTAAGATCATTGACTTTGGTCTCGCCCGGATGTGAGTGCTCACTCGCTTTTTGTTAAATTATCAATTTAATTGAATGCTCCTTAATTGCATCAATATCTCTTTTCTTATCAGATACAAACCAAGAGAGAAACTAAAGGTGAATTTTGGAACTCCGGAGTTCCTCGCTCCAGAGATCGTCAATTATGACTTCGTGTCATTTAACACAGACATGTGGAGTCTCGGCGTCATCACCTACATGCTGTACGTAAACACACACACGCACACGCATGCAGAATTGTGCACAAATTGTTGCTAATGATTTTTACCTTTCTGATTTTAGCCTGAGCGGCCTGTGTCCTTTCCTCGGTGATGACGACAACGAGACTCTGAACAACATTTTGGCCTGTCAGTGGAACTTTGAAGAGCAAGAGTTTATAGATACATCGGAAGAAGCCAAAGATTTTATACGCAGACTCCTCGTTGTAAATAGAAGGTGGCTGGATTTGGTGTTTGTGTGTGAGATCTGAGCTGTTGCTAAAAACCCAGCGAAGATATAAAATGTGAAACGTGTTTTTCTGATTCCATTTGTCATTAGTTGGAGGATGGGGGCGTGCGAGGCGATGAGGCATCCTTGGCTTTCAGACCCTGTTCTTCATCATCGTCTTCACACGAAGGTGAAATATCACTGTCATTTCTATATAACAGAATAAAAACTGTAAAAATAAAGATCTCATTTAACTTTACACACATTTCTAATTGCATACTTCAGGATATTAATTCTCCTATTATTAAAATGCACTTTCTGTTTTCCACTGACTGTTTCTTAAACATTTGTTGCTTTTTTCACCACATTTCACAGAAAACTATGTGCAGATCACGCCGATCATCGTGCGTGCCTCCCTCTGATAGTTAAGGTCAGTCTGAGAAGTTTAACACAAGATAAAAGCAGCAGAAAACAAAATCCTCCACTAGAGGGAAGCATGGCTCATATCTTGTGCAGAGAATGATGTAACACAGATACTTTTGCCTTGTCTTTTTAGACTCTGACATGTATGAAAAGACACCAGCTGTGGCTACTTGGACCAAACCCTCTGTTTATGTAAAATCTTTGTAATTCTAGTTCATGCACCTGAGACTCGTCTGGTTTCCCTGCAAACTTTCTCCAGGAGCGTTACTGCATACTGCGACTATAATAGTACAAAAAGACATTTTAATTTTTTTTACTTAATAGCAAACTAGTAGCTTTTAAAAATGTAATGAAGCTTTTGCCAACATTAAAGAAATGATTCAGTCATGAATTTACTTTAAACACCTCAGATGAACTTCTGAACTTATCGCAGTGATCTGCTGTAAAGTTTTATTTCCAAAGTGTATGGTGAATTTAAAAAGTGATGCTAAACGTATCAAACAAAGCCTTAGTAAAAGAATTTTAAAATACTTGAATATGAATGAGCCAAATTCTTTATTTTACATTTGCTATTCACTTAAACCCCCCCCCCCCGTTATCTCTAACTCGTCTTGTTTTTATTCCCTGTGCATAGATATATGCTTACAAATTGTTATCTACTGTTACTATAAAAGTCATAGGAAGATTTATATTCACATATCATTGACAAAGTAACCTTCTGTGTAAAATGTCTCCTTTTTCATGAATAAATATTCCTTTTAGGCTGTAAACAAACTTTAGGTAAAGGAGATATAATCTATGAAAAAGTCATAATGCGTGTCCCTGAATGGAATAAAGTCTGTGTGACCTGTGTCAGAGGAAGCAGAACATGCACTTTATATTATTTATTTAAATGAAAGTAATTTACTGCACCATATGTGTCTTATTACTAAAGTGTGTACTATTTGCTGATGCATGACTGCAGTTGTGTGTTATAACACACACACACACACACACACACACACACACACACACACACACACACACACACACACACACACACACACACACACGCACGCACGCACGCACGCACGCACGCACGCACACACACACACACACACACACACACACATATTCTTAATCTGTACTGTAGGGTAAAACTGGCTTATTGCTTTAGATTCATGATACATTTAGTTTCCTTATTAAAAACAAGTTTATTTTTGGATTACCTTCTGTGAAGGTCCAGTCACAAAAAAAAAACACACACACACACACACAACCTACCTGCCATTCACGTGGTTTGATTTGATGATGAATGTGTAGATGACTGTTGGAATCATGAGTGATAGTGACTAGAAGTTGTCCTCACTGAGTGGTAGAAATCCAGCATGTATTTGTGTGTGCACACCAATAAAACATAAACTGTCTTAAATCATCTGTTTAAGTTTGCTCATTTCCTACTTTTTAAGGAATAACTCGGAATCAAAGTAAACTGTTTCTTAAAAATGCACGCACTTAATGGTGTGGAACACTGCCAAAACATTTGTAACTATTATTTCTGATTATAATCAGTCACTCTGTATTTAACATGCAGGCTGAACATGAAATAATCCTCTACACCTATTTCCTGCATTAGCTTATGATAGCAAAAAGATGGCAAAAAGCTAGGATTTGAAAATCCTGACTGTGTGATGTCACACTGTCAGGATTCACGCATTTTTACTCGCGAAGTGAAGGCTGTTGTTGGTTTAGTATAAGCTAAATGTTAGCATTAGCAACTCCACCACACAGCAGAACACGTCCAGGCATGTATTATTTGTGGAGATAAAATATCCATGTCGCAGAGCAAACAGTATGTGGTAGAGTTCCGTTGCTGTTAGCCAATCAGAGGCAAGATGTCCAAAAACCAGGAAATAAGACTTCAATTCCTGCCGAGTTACGCCTGGAACACACCAGACATGGAAACGTGACGATGCGCCGTGAAAGGGCTGTGGAACAATGAACGTTTCTATGTGGTGCCCTTGTTAACCTACGGTCTCGGTCACATCTGCTGCGAAACGCCACGAAGCAGAATACCGCATTTGCCAATTCAGACTAGTGGGCCGACACCTGTAAGACTTTAAACATCTTTGGTATGTTCTTACTGTGTTGCTTTTCTAACTGCATTGTTGGTTCTTTTTTAAAACACAGAAAAGGTTTCTTTTTTACCTTGTTGCTGACAGTTTCATTCACGGCTGCGAACTTCCTCAGAGCTATGGAGCTGAGATACGTAGTGCTGCAGTCTGGTTCCAGCATATTTCCTGCATGTTTTAGATCATAAACACAGCTGATTTGTTTAATTTTTTGATGAATCACTCCTGTAGAAATCAATGAAGGCTGGGGAGACATTTCAGCAGCTAGATTAAGGTGTTAAAGAAAATGCACAACCAGGAGGTTTAATTTTCGGTTTGATCACAGAAAATTAATAACGGACACTTGGGGGTGTTAAAAGCAAGCAAAATCACCCAGTGTGCCTTTTTAAGAGCGACAACTAATACCAATAATATCTGATATTACATTTTAATGACAACCAATAATAGGGGTAGGCAGATAATTTCATACATATATTTAGAATAATTCTTTATTATTAAAATTTTTGATTGGAAAGTTCAGCCTAACTCAAGATTTAAAGAGGGTCTGCACACTGTCAGAAAACGTAACTCCACCCCAGTCAAGATTTGAAAAATGCTATGAAAGTGGGTATTGCCAGGAGGCATGGAGTGCCATGGCCAAGTGTGGGGAATTTCCATCCCAGGAGGAAGGGGGAGTGGGAGGAGACCGTACCGATGACCTAATGAACCGAAGAACCAGCCCCAGTCAATCACAAATTTAAAATGCAGTAGCCACAGTTCAACCCACAGGGGGCAGCACTAAGACGTTTTCAGACCTAGATTCTAGATTAATCAAGTTTACACAAACATGTGAAAAAATGCACAGAAACAGAAAGATTGCATTTGTAAAGACCCACATATACACTTTATAAGCAAAAAAAGTTATTTTGGGGTTTAGTTACTCTTTAAGTACAGCTGAATGCAGCAGTCTAATGAAATGCATCTGAAGCAGAAAGTGTGGGCAATACTGCCACCTGAAAAAATAAACTGAGCAAATGTGGGATGGTGATGATGGTGGGGCAGCAGGGTCAGGATGTACGGGAAATGAAACGATTCCTATCAGCTTTTATCTTGTGTTTTATTTTACAGAGGACAATGAAAACTGTTTAAGGCGAAGAGGTGTGCAGCTCAAGCCACCTTCCCTTAACTTTTAGTTTGTTCATAACTGAAAGCTCTATTTTAGCAGAAGCCACAGGATTAGTTGGGGATAAGTGCAGACTGTACGGGTTACTAGCAGAAACGTGAATTGAATTACACAAAATATAGCAAAAAAGCAAACCACTTTTATATCCACACCCTTTGAGATGGTTTTGGTTGTAAGATTGTATGGATTGAGAGAAAGTAATATGCGGTTTTGGTTTACTGTACATAGCAGTTATGATCCACAGACGACAGTAACATATGAGACGGATGAACGAAATGACCATGCAGTACTCTCTTCCTCAGAAAAGGAGATACCTACAGAAATGTATGAAAATAAGAAAGAGACAATCTAACAAAAATGTTTAACAAATCTATCATCTATCTATCTATCTATCTATCTATCTATCTATCTATCTATCTATCTATCTATCTATCTATCTATCTATCTATCTATCTATCTATCTATCTATCTATCTATCTATCTATCTATCTATCTATCTATCTATCTATCTATCTATCTATCTATCTATCTATCTATCTATCTATCATCTATCTATCTATCTATCTATCTATCTATCTATCTATCTATCTATCTATCTATCTATCTATCTATCTATCTATCTATCTATCTATCTATCTATCTATCTATCTATCTATCATCTATCTATCTATCTATCTATCTATCTATCTATCTATCTATCTATCTATCTATCTATCTATCTATCTATCTATCTATCTATCTATCTATCTATCTATCTATCTATCTATCTATCTATCTATCTATCTATCTATCTATCTATCTATCTATCTATCTATCTATCTATCTATCTATCTATAATGAATTCAAAAGATTTCACATGTCTAGGGAAACTTATTTGGTGTTTTGTTAGACATTTATCCTGAGTCTAGTCAAGAATGCACTCCGTCCATCCATCCATCCATCTGAAGCAGCTACCAAGCTTCAACAAAGGAGTCCTTTTTTAGTTCGTGTGTTTCAAATTATATTTTACTCTTTTTAGAATGGTTCACAAAGAGTGCGTACATTCCTGTCAAGCAAATAATGGCCGAGAATAGGTGTTAGTCGTTTGGCAGAACAGGTGATACTGATTTCTTACAAGGATTTCTTCCAGCTCTGTCTTTCTCTCTCTTTTTGAGCCCAAGGGTTGGGAGCAAAATACAAGCTCTTGCTCTTTCCCAGCTCCAAGACCCAGTTTGGAATGGTGAGAAATTCAATTTAAGAACAGCAAAAAAAAAGCTGCCCCTCCACCACTTCGTCTCACCCTTAAGTCTCCTCCATCCACTTCTCCGGGGGCAATCTCAAGGAGCTAAATCAGAACCAGATGGACTTATTGGGCCTAAAGATAACAAATAGTGCCTGAGTTCCTGTCAGTTTGAGACCACCAGAGCAAAGAACCTCAGAGTGAACAAAAAACTTGATGACATATTTAAATCTCTTGTATATTTTGGGAAATATATTTCATATTTATAATTACATAAAAGTGTAAAAAAAAGAGAAACAGAACAGTAGAATGAATTTGTTTTGTTGTTTTTTCTACTTAGAATTTCTTCAATAGAGGGGCTTGTATTCAGACACCTGGTGTCTTCCTGCTTTCTGGAAAGCCTACACTGAGATCTCTAGGTGGCATTCGTTCTTTTTGTCAATCGATCCACTTACCACCCACACACGCTCAGTGAGAAAAGATGGAGCAAGTGTAAACAAAAAGGAGAGGGTGACCCCGTAACTCCTCACAGCCTCCCTCTAGACTGCCTAAGAAAGTGTCCTTTGTAACAAGAGTTTCCTGGATGTAATTAAAAGATATTGGGCCCAGAGATGAGGCTCAGGGTTGAAGGAGGCTATGTGAAGGGTAAGATTCCCTCCTCAGCTCTTCGTTTCATGTAAGAACCCCCGGAGCTGAGCCCCGACGTTTGTTCAAACAAGCGGTGCTCTCTCTCCTACGAGTTCTGGAGAAAAGACCAGGCAGTTCTCAGGGCCTTAGGGCAGGTGGTTCTGATTTAAACAGGGTGTGTGTGGGGCGAAACAGACCGCGTTTATGTTCGCTTAATAGCAGTACACGTGTCGTCACGTCCAGTGGTGGAAACACGCTGGGTGACTGATCTGTTTTTCACACCGCTAAGGCCTGACGCCAATAAGAACGTCCAGTTATCCTTTTAAAGTTTTCCCTGCCTGCAGTCACACCTGCATGGCCTTGCAGAGATACCAATAATAATAGAGAATCTGGTGTTGCTGCTGTTTGTTTTGTAAAAATATACCTCATAACAGGTAGGCAGCTGTGAAAAAATTCAAACAACCTGCAAAAAACACTTAAATAGTGACAGACTATTGTCTTTACGAACTAAAGTGATCAATTTGTTTAGTTTTTCTTCATTTTTTCTAAGTTTGGAAAACAACAACATCAAAATTTAGCATTTTCTTTTGCGACTGATTAGACAACACCAGTCACTAGTCACCAAGTCATTATTCTGAGCCTTGCAGAGTGTAGCGTAAGAACTGGAAATGGCCGTCATGGCAGTTTTTACAGACACTTGTTTATTTTTAAAATGCAGGTTTACTGATGGATGATTTATTGCTTATCATCTTTGGTATGTTCTTGCTGTGTCTGGTTTCTAACTGCATTTTTAGTTCTTTTTAAAACACAGAATTGGACTGTGTCATCGGTGAAGGGAGAGCGGGCAGCAGAGGGCGACAACGTCCTCCGCTGCCCGCGGATAAACAGAGAAGGAAGTGACGCCACCATCAGCGTCAGCTCTGAGGAAATTTTTTGCTTATCATTCTTGAAAATGAAAAGTCACTCTGAGTTTAACATTAAGACAATGTGAAAATTGTCTTCTACCCCTATTTCCTACATTAGCTTCTGATATAAATTATCTGCTTAGTTCAGGAAAGTCTGACAGATTATGGACTCACCCATCTTGGTTGTTGTTCGTTCAACAGCAGAGAATGTCTCGACAGAAGCTAACCATTAGCATTAGCAACTCCACCACATGGCAGAACTCCTTCAGCCTTGTGTTATTTGTGAAGATGGAGCATCAACATAACAAAGCAAACAAAGTCAGTGGTAGAGTCGCTCTGCTGTGAGCCAATCAGAGGCAAGACGTCCAAATATCAGGAAATAAGTCTTCA